ATGGGTGGGGGTGGATCTCGGTATACGTGAAATATTACAAATCTATATTATTATTTGTAACCTTTTTCAGCCTGTATCTCCGAAACTATTTGAGTCCCCCCCTTATATGTATATATATGAAATGACTCGGGAAGACATCCCCAACAACATATTTAAAAATAAAACAAATCGGAGAGGAAGTCGCTTTTATGCATAATTACCAAATATTTAATATAAAAAATTTTATAAAACTATTTGCAAACGTCTATTTGTAATGTTGTAAACCTCACTAGAGCTTTTTAAGCATACCTTACTCGTGAAATCATGCAATATATTAGAGGCTGATTTAAATTCCTTTCCTGCGGGCAGTAAATAGTACAACCAATCAATCCAATACCACGGTCGATATAGTCTATCTATTAGTAACCCGGAAATTCTAAAAATGCGATTGACATTTAACTAAAAGTACATACATATGTAATCAATTATTGAAGTTACGTTGATTTTTAAAACTATTAAGTGACAGTGGTAAGAATAAACTGTTAAGAGGATCCCCCAGCCTTTGATAGTGTGCGCCATCTAAACACGAAACGCAGCATACATGAGCACACGGACACACTACTATGATACATCACACCCATACATAAACGCGAAAGTTTAATACTAACTATACTCTTATTTTAAACGTCTAATCCCAATTTAGAGGGTTTCACAGTAATTCTACATGTCATCGAATCCTGGGAAACTCAGTTTCATGTGAGTACAAGTTGTAGAACTTTTATACGAAGCACAAGTATGACGGAGTGACAGTTCGCAATTTTAAGGTTATATGTGATCGATTATATGAATTTTGTAATTTTTACTCATTTTTGGTATAAAATTGGAGTTTCCCGGGATCATCAATGCATATACTGTAATTGTACGCAAGCATTTTTGATTCCATGAATTTAATACGACGATAGGTTATAACTACGAAAATGGTATTCTGTCGGTAAAACAGACCCGCTACGGGATCCTCTTAACTGTTTTATTAATAATAGCAGTATAAAGGTTTTGAAAACTGACTTATACAGTGTTGATGTATATTCCGTAAAGGTTTCTTGAGCATGTATATTCACACCCATTGCCGTTTCTGCAAGATAACAATTAATATTGTTAATAATTCTCTCTCACATCGCGTATAATGCTAAAATTAAACTTGATTATTTCTCGTAAATAGTACAATAATATTAAAACAAGATTTCAGTTTTGCTAAATAGGAAAATTCTGCTGAAATTGATTTGTTAGTGAGAATTCGAATTTCCTGCTGACATAAAATTGTCTCTTCCTGGGACCTTATTTTCATTACTTTGACGTAATAAGAATTTTTGCTAATGAAGCCAAATAATGTGCAGATTTCGCAAACTATACAGGGTGTCAGATTCGATATGGACGACCCCAAAGATTGCTGTAGATTGGGTTAAACTGAGAAGAAAAGTTATATAAAATTTTACAAAATCGTAATTATTATCGGCCTAATTCAGAAAAACGTCTGAGCCAATAAGTGCACGGAGGAGCGGAAGGCCGGACTCGGCAGCATGCAAAATGGTGTGTTTGTTGACATCTCTCAAAAAACGATAGCGAACGCGTTCGCCCGCTCACCGCTCCCCGCTCCCCGCTCGCCACCGTCTCTCATCGATCGATGCGTGACTCCACCTCTCGCTAT